AATAATGACTTCTGGGAAAATTATTTGATGTCTATCCTGTCTTAGACTCATTTGGTGGATGTAAAAGTAGTGTCATAATAATCACTTAATATTTGTAAAGAAAAACAGAATTCGGCAGTATATTATTGTGCAAATTTATATGTAGTTTGCATTTTTTTATTTGTTTACTTAAAGAGTAATTTTTTTTTTATTTTTTTTTTTTTTCAGGCAGAAGGCATAGAGATTTTGCTAATAAGGGCAGATTCTTTTGATGTCAGGCCTCACGCTGCATAAACTTCATAGACCCATCATTAGTTCTTGTCATCTCTTAGGGGTTTTTGGCTTGGGGCCAAACAATTGATATAGTAGAGAGCTTCCAGCTAAAACAACAGCCTCTGCATCTTTATCTTCCCATCCATCAGATTGTTGGTGGAAGATAGAGCTAATTTGTCACTCTATCCACTTGGAAAAGTTTGATAAATGGCTTAATTAGACTTTTTTTTATTAAGAAATCATATTTCTTGAGAACTGGAGGTTGGGAAAACAATGGATAAGGAGTAAATTAGAAAAGGAAAATATTTTTTCTTCAGTAAAGATGAAGGAGACGTGACCATTATGTGAGGAGGAGAAGTGGAAAGAGTGCAGTTGGTTGGAAGGAGTTTCAAGGAAAAACAAAACAAAAAAATAACAAACAAGTGTTCTGCAAGCAGAGCAGTAACCTGGAGAGTGTGGGCTTGACAGTGTCTCTATAGAAGCACCAAGCTGCAGAGTGCCAATTTAAATTGGCACTCCCAAATTAGAGTGCATTTAATCCTTTATGTTGAGACCTCTAAAACAAATAACATGGCATCATTGTACCCTGAAGAACATCCAAATATACAATTAAGTATATTGGCTTAATGTTTTTTAATCCAGATTGTCATATGTAATGAAGGAAACCGTGCTCTTGAGGACACTCTTTGCACTGGTTAGTGTCTATGCCAGTCAAAGTGAGGACTTCACTTCAAACCTCATTCTTTAGTTTGGGGAAAGAGGGGACAACACCATGGCCATGTGCAATTCTTTTTGTGACGAGTCAAAGGTTGAGCAAAGCAGGATCACAGTTTTCAAATATCCCTGCAAAGAATGCTCTAAATTTAAAAGGATATTTCCATTTTCTTCTTCTTGTGAGGTCATTTCATGGCTTATGAATAAAGCACCTACAAGGATTAAAATCAGTAGTTTTGGTACTTTTGGAACTTTCAGCCATGAAAAAAAAGGGAGAGGGAAGCTGCATGAAGTTCTTTTCTTGAGTGTTGTTTTAGTCACTGTGTTTAGATAGTTACCCCTCTACTTTACATACGTAACTATGACATGTATACACACGTATTCACAAATGTGGATGTGCCTGTGACATCTGGCAAATCTTAACATGTTACATATGCCTGGACTTTGTATTTGTAGCCATCTTTTTATATAACTATGCTATTTAGGTCACCAAGAAGCATCATTTTTCTTCCTCTTGTCTGATGTAAATTAACAAGGCAACAGACAAATTTCATTCTCCACTTTTCAATAAACTGTCCAGAAATTGGATGTACTTCAAAAATAATGTTAAGACTCCTTAACCTCCAGGCAAAAACTTATTTTAGGAAGCAAAAGACAAATATTTTTCAATTAATAAGATTTAGCATCCACTTCTATGCAATGCATTAATATGAAATGACACTGAGGGGTAATAGGCCTGGAATTAGTACTTCCCCAAGGAAATGTCTTATCTTTTGCACTAAATTAACTGTGTCTTTCTCACACATCCTAAAGCTGTCACTTTGGGCATTCTGCTTAAGGAAATGTCTTCTGATTTAAAGTTTCTGAGAAGAAAGGCAAAACAAATGTGGTTAAACAATAATGACCTCTTACGCCCCAGTCTCCACAACCCTTTCTGAAGTGGGTAGCTGTTACCATTACCATTAAATCATTAACACTCCTGAAAAGGTCACTGGGACAGAATGTGGGAGTAGCCTCCATGTGGGTCAAATCCTGGAGGCATTACATCTGTGAAAGCACAGCAGAAAATAGCAGGGTAACGAGGCAATGAATCAGGATAACACAGTGAACTGCATAAGGGGCCTGTTGAGGAGTTTTCAGGCTGGCCTGCAGGCAACCATTACAGCTACAACCAGAGATGGGTGTAAGTTACTGCTGTCTCCTGGTGGCCTCTCTGAGACCTAATAATCACAATGCAAGCACTGCTCTGCAGGTATTCGCCATTGCTGCAAGCCAAGGTCACCAAAAGGGGACTTTGGGACCTGCTTTTGCTACTCTTGCTGTTTTGGCCCAAGTGCTGATGGGCCCCCTGCTCTTCGTGGCTGCTCTCACCAGAGACCACAGCAGGAGGGCCACGCTGACCTCCAGCTCAGCAGATGTTGCTTGCAGAGACAGTCATGTGAAAAGGCTTTGTCTGTGCTATTCTGTCTCACTCCTCTGTTGACAGGAGTTGCAAAATGCCCTGTATTGCTGTTTGTGGATGGCACCTATTAAGAGCTCCAAGTTGGGCCTTGTTGTAAATAAGGGTCATCCTTAACATAATAGGAAAAAAGATGTTAAAAAAAAAAAAATATCCCTGGGTATAGTTTGTTTCTCAGTGTAATCTAATTTATGAGTTGAGTTTATATGATGGCTTGGTTTTACCATTTCCTGTTAGAAAGTCAGGACTGGTCCCCTGCAAACATTTTCCATCTCAGGGAATGGTTTGATACATCCTAACTCATATGAAGTGAAATGGTCATCACTGGACCAACCATGACGGTTGAAGCTATTCATGTGCATGTTTACAGGATCTGGTCCCAAGATAGTAACTGCCCCTATTACTAGTGAACTGAAGATAGATTGTACTTGCAGCTTTAGTTCTTCACTAGGAAATATGATTTATCTGATTGCAGAATCTAAAAGTTCAGCAAAGTGACTACACATTGGGACATGAAAAGTGCATTTACAGGATTATTTTTGCATTGAAGGAAAGGAAATCAAGCATTTTTTTCCTGTATAAAGAAAGGTTTTAGATGCAAGGAAAAAAAAAGGATATGTCAATCCCTGTGTTGCTGATTTGCTATTTTAAGCTAAGTGAATATACGCAATATGCTTTACTATACTTTAAAAATAAGAACTGTGAGAAATAAAGCTCACTATGTCTACAGTAATTCTGTGTTTTTATTTAGAGACAGTTGTGGATATTAATATTTTAAATTAATTCAATGTGTTTTGAGTTGCTCTGCCACTTAGTTTACTTGAAAACTAAAACCATTTGTAACAAAACAGCTAGGTTGGTTTTAAAGTCAAACCAGTGTAAAAGAATATGTAAAACTAATGGTGCACTTCAGACCAATAAAAAAAAAAGTCTTTTGGACTATAAATGAAAATGACTTCAATTTATGTGCATTAGAAACCAAAGCTAAAACTCTAGAGGTACTTTGAAAAAAAAAAATAATCTCCAGACATTCATGTTATGATTCCCTCCACCCACCCACCTGCCCCCCCCACCCCCCCAATAAAAAAAAATCATTCAATTTAAAGTGAGCTCAAGGGTAGATTACTACAGGTATTGAGCATCCAGGAGAGTTGGAATGAGTATATTGGAACTAACTGGAAGTTTTGCGGCCAGGTCTTTTTTGAATCCTGTGAATAGCATATCTGCAGTTTTAACTACCTAAATCTGCTATAGCACAGAAACAAGTATCTTCTATGTTAGTCAGTCAGTGGTGAAGATTGGAGAGTAGAGCTAATGTAAGCCCTGATCATGAAGTAGACATATAGAACAGGAGAAAAAAAAAATAAAAATTGGCTTTAGGCATTTCCAGTAGGCATTTTCGATACCACGGCTTTGCTGTATTGTACAACCAGAAGTGATCAGTAGCTGGAAATAACCTTTGATGTCTCATGTGAACATCAATATGAGCATGCAGTAGTGAGTTTAAAGTGACCATGATACTAAGCTCCACGTGGTCAGTGCTCTTGAAGATATAGATCTATTTAATTTGAGGTGATTCTCAAGCATTTTGGCAGATGAACTTGGTTTCTTACAAATGATCAAGTGTTCTTATCAGCAGTTAACCGCATATTGAATAGGCTTAGATATTTTTACATGTACATTAAGTACCATCTGCTAAATGATTGTGAATCTGCCATTGATTTGCTTTTTAATACTTGCTATCATATACATTTTAAAAGAATCTGTTATATATGAATAAAGAAGAATAGCTCATAACATTTTACAATTACTGTAAATAAACCATATCTGGCAGTCTGTCCTAAGATGAAATGAAGCATATTTTTATTTCACCTTACGGTATAGTGTGTTTTATTCAAACCAAGTTCTTATTTGTTTTATTTAGAGCCTGAACTGAAATCATTATGCTTTAGTTTTTCATAAAATGCTTGGAAACCAGACTTTTCAGTAAGGATTTCAAAATGATGTCATTTTTACACAGTTGAAAAGTTTAGACCAAGCACGGGACAGCAGAAACAAAGGGCCAGGTTCATTCAAATATTAAAAAAGGTACATGAATGATCCCAAGTGGAATTTAGTTACGTAAGGACTTCACAATCTGATCATAGTGATGACCTGCAGATTGCTTAGCTGTAGTTCAAATTAATTTCTGGAAAGAGTAGGTAGAAGCTATAACATTCATGGCATTTTTTCTCAAATAAAGAAAATTGCTAGCCTTCCTTCTTCTTGTGACACAATAACACTTGAATAGTTATTTTCGTTATGATGAACTCTATCCTTAGGATTGGTTGGATAAACAGGATTTTTTTAAATAAATATTTATTATTAATATCTTGATTATTTGGTTGATAGCTGTTATCAAAGGGAGAAGAATATAACACAATCAGGAAAGTGTATGATAGTCTCTCTACTGAGCTCAATAGTAATATCTTCTAGTCTTCCTGTCTAGTTCATCTATTGAGATAATCTCTGCCAAACTTTTTTATCCATTATATATCGTCTATGAACTAAATAAACTCCGTTTTCTTTTCAATACAGATTCCAGTTGCTCATCCAGTTGCTTCTGGGCTCGTTAAGGTAAGTGAGAAACACAGTGAACTTGAATGAATATAAATCCAGAAGAGAGATCATAAAGCAAAGGATATGCATGTAGTTAAAATTGTTTATGTATGTTTGCTTTGATCTTTAAATGTAAAACTAATGCTCATCGCAAGTTAATAATTGCTTACCAGAACCAGATTTGCCTTTCATTGTAGCATCAAACTTGAGATAATAATAGCAGCATGAAAAATAGCTCCTAAGTTGCCAGCAGGAAAAATAGCTTCTGAGGTTTTAATGTATGATGCTTTTACTCTTTTGGCTTTCGTTTGCCTTTAGAACCAGAAATGAACATATTATCCTTTCAAATTGCTTTGATGTATCTCATTCACTTTAGGATTAAGCATTCCTGAACATCTTTATGTCTCACTGATCTCTTTCAAACAAACATAAATTAATTCTTTAGCTCAAAATTTCTACTCATGAGACCTAATTCCCCTTGTCTCTAGCATTATTATAGCCAAGTTTGTTTGTGCAAAATGATCGTCATGTTACTGTTTTGATTTGTGCTATTTGACATAGCTGGCTTGCATACTTAAGGGAAGTACAGAGATCATGCATGGCATTGAGCAGTGCAAAACAAGACTCAGATTTTAACGCTGTAGTGTCCTACAAGGGCAAGTTAGAGGATTATGTGTCAAACGTCAGTTGTGGATGCAAATCTTTTTGTGTTACTTGAGTTCAAACACAGGTGGAACCACCAGGTACTAGCTACTTCATGATATGGTGTATCTCCTCTGAATTAAAGCAGAGGATAATACACATATAGACAGGAGTTCACTCCTCATAAATATTCATACACGAACATTTGCAAAATTGTTAACGGCATAACATGACTCTGCTCTCTTGAAATAATTGAACCATGTGATTTATACCACTAATTTTAGTTGACCATACTGTAAACTTCTGGAAGCTGACCCTATTCAAAAGAGTGTGATATAAAAAAAAAAACTTTTTCTGCAGGAAAGGTATCCACTGAAGATGATATTAAACTTAAAACAGTACAAGTTTCTATCAGAGTACTGCAGTTCCACACAGCCAAGTATTCATCTGGTTTTATGGGCCTGCTAGGTGTCACTTGACTTTCTTGGTGTGTGTATTTCTTCATGTATATTTATGTGGACAGCACTGTTCTGGTTGTAAACAGTATAGCTGGCCAGGCCAGCTGGATGGTAAGGAAGCATCGGCAACAATTGAGAGTGATGTAAGTATTGTAGTATAAAAAAAGCACCCAGAGTGTGCTGCTGGTCCTCTGGGGATGCTGTGAGTGGCCACTACCACCCCAGAACATGGTGGGAATCATTTGGAATAACTGGTTTTCTCACTTGCAACTTCTGTTTAGGGGCTCTGGAGGGGAAGAGACATACAGGGAGGATCTGAAGGACACCGTGTCTGTGCCTGGCACCGCTCTGCAGGGCAGCTTTTGGCCAAGGGGCCTGTGACAAGTTAGGTAGTCCGGGCTGCCTTTGAGGGAACCCAAAGAGAGCTGAGCATTTCCCAGGTTTCTTCACAGTACATGAACTTGGAATCCTGTGAGCTGACCCAAGCAGACAGTGGTCAGCCAGTGAATTTGGCATGGAAGAAGGTGGTTTTACAGGGCAACAGTTTGCCAGGAGTGACCTCTCTTTCTAGTTCCCTGGAGATATTTCTTAAACAGCCACAATCCTTTTGGTTGTCTGGCCCTCAGTTTTGGCAAAACAGTTTTAAGACATGGCTTAAGTCAAAATATAAGAATTTTGTGAACAGCTCAGGCGTTATATTATGAGAGTTTCCTGTGAGATGTCTTACCTGAAAGCATTCTCCATTTTTCTTGTTTTCTTTTCTAACAGCCTACTAGACAAATCCATAGATTTATACAAAGAAATCTCAACAAACAGTTCACATACAGTATTCAATATTCATATACTAACTTAGATGAGTTATATACACTCATGTAGCTGGTAAAGTGCATGAATCACAGAATGGGTGGGGTTGGAAGGGACCTCTGAAGATCATTTAGTCCAACCCCCCTGCCGAGCAGGATCACCGAGGGCACATTGTGCGGGATGGCATCCAGGTGGGTTTTGAGTATCTCTAGAGGAGACTCCACAGCCTTTCTGGGCAACCTGTTCCAGTGCTCTGTCACCCTCACAGTAAAGAAGTGCCCCATCATGAAGGAGATACAGATTTGATAGATAGAAGATGAATTTTTGTCCCAGCAAATCTTTTTAAGGATATCGGTGTTCAGGAAGCAGGGAGAAATGTCCAATTCTATCTCAGATGGAGTCTGCAGCACCTATGTTGTTCGATAATTCATTTTTTAATGTTTAATTTTAAGTTACATGTCCTAATGATGTGGCAGTGCTTGAATGAATGAGATGGCTCGTGCACACCAGATAATTTGAAAAAGTTCAAGTGAAAAAGAAAATCACAATTCATGCTACAGATTATGAGTATCTATTTCAGAATTACTAAGGCTTTGAACAAAGCTATATACATTTTCCTTCATGAGGCTGGCATGTCATATAAATGGTTTATGAGTTCTCTGGTTCAGGAACACGGCTTTATAACTGATAGAGTACAATTCTGAAGTACAGAGGTGTAAGAGACAAAACCTATCTACATTGAGATACATGCAATTTGTGTTTTACTTTGCATTTGACTTGATGTTCAGCTGCTCAACAGTCATCCTGTAATTGGACTTATAAAATTACACTCTAATTTCCTTTAGTGACAGGGAAACTGCTAAAGGAAGTGTCTGCCATACTCAGTTTAATTTCTACCATCATCCAAACACACAGATGGTTATTCAAATCTCATCTAGAAAAGGAAGTAGGACTTTTCTGATCAAAGTGCTATGAAATTTCCAGTACTCTGGACAGGGCAGAATCAGTGCAAAAACACTCTCCCTTGCACTGAAGTACTGCTGCAGGGTTGGTGTTATCCCAGCTCCAGTGATGAAAAAATAGGCTACAAAATATGTTTTAAAAGTAGATGTATTTTGTGATTCAAATTTAATGTTTACACTGTCTACTATTCTGTTCAATATGATGTATACATTTCCAACATGTATATTGTATTTTTGCATATTATAGACCTAGTTCAATTTAGAAACATACAAAAGTAATTCCAAATGAAATTACATAAACCCATAGTATTAAACTGGATTGCTTTCACATGCAGGCTTCCTATTAGACTTCATGTATTAGTATTAGGACTTACTGGCTCCAGTGATCTTATATTCATGCTTAAGAGTTATTCCATGCCACTGGTGCATTTTTACTAGTTATAAATTAAATTGGACACTTCCTATTATATCTGTTATCAACTGAATAAATTATGTGTTAAAAATTGACCTCCTAAGCATTTCCAAGTAAAAAACAAATAGGGTAAAAGTGATTTCAATATCCATGGTTTTGTAGTGATTTAATTTTGTTCATTTCAGAATATAAGGAATCCTTAACATTGTTATGAAGAAACGTTCTACTACCACAAAAGCTCTATTTCTCACTAACCAGTTCAGGCATCTCTAAGGTCTCTTCAGACCAACTGAAGGTGGTCTTTTTAGGTGCAGAAAGGTACACCAGAACTTTGTAAAATTATGAACTATTGTTAATGCTCTGGTTGTTTCAATGCATAAGCAAAGGATTTCTGCCATTCTTCCCAAATATTTATGTTTATTATTATTGTGCCTATTATCTTTATTTTTTTCTATAATATTTGCATAACCTCCTGGGACCTTTTTGAGGATTATAAAGCAGTTAACATTCAAAATTCACTTCTGAATTTGCATACAAACTGATTCCAGTTCCAGGTGCTGTGGTTGCAAATGAAAGAAGAGACATTTAATCTAATATTTAATTTAATGTTTAGTCTTAGAGGAGAAATTCAATTAAAAATACTAATCAAGTTAAAAACATTTAGCAAAAGCAAAACTTACAGTTAAGAACAAGCAAGTTGTGAAAGCTCCATATCTGAAATGGTTTAACTGTCCTTTAAGAAAGTTTGACCCGGAGCCAACATTCATCCATTCCCATATTATAACTGTATTTTGGAAAACTCACCATTTGGGAGTTATATTTCCTCAGGTAACACTGGTAAAGCACATAAAATTCCTCCTGTTTAAGCCAATGTAAGCCTGTGAAATCTGTACGCTTCTGTGCAGCATTTATAAAAATGTTATGGTGTTGGACTCAGTCTGTAAAGGCCTTTCTGTGGCTAATGCCGGAGAAGTACCATATACAGGACATATTTTCAATATTGACAAAAATGGAAAAAGCAAGCTCAGCCCAATTTGTGCTCCAAACTTGGACTGTGAACACTGATGAACTCTCTCAGCTGTGTCCAGCTGCTAAGGCCAGGGAGTTCAAGAAGTGCGCAGTCTATCAATGGCTCTTATGTGCCTCTAACTGCCCTAATATCTGAATGTCCCACAGTCATCTTCATAACTCCTCTGTGTGCTAGGGAAGTGATAAAGTTTCAGTTGAACAGACAGAACTGAGTTTCAAATATGTCAGCACTTTCTTATCCAGTAGTGGAGGAGGCACCACCACTGAGTGATTGATTCCACTCAAAGTTCAAATTTCTTTCTTTTTCTCTCCCTCCTTATTGCAAGTAGAGGGATATAAGATGGTAGGTTAAACAAGGTGCTTCACTTTTATATGGTTAAATTAGGGAAAATGAATCCACCTCAACTGACTTTCCCAGCAACACACAGAATAGTTAGCTGAGGCAGTGGGCCAGTGACTAATCCATGCTGGTATCCTAATTACAGATATACCAGTGTTTATAGTCTTGGTGCACAAATGCAAAAGAAAAAAGGAAAATAAAATTAAATTCAGATGACCGAACAATTTTTATTTTTTTTATTATCTTGTGAAAAAAATAGATGTTCTGATTGCTCTGATTGGTGTGGAACATTATTCTCAAGAAAAGTCAATCTTGTAGAAATTAATTGTTTAATTTAGTTTAGTTCCAGCTTGCAAATATTTTCTACTCTGGAGCTGTTCTCTTAATGAACTAAATGAGAAAAAGAAATCCTGCAGCCCTCAGTTTAATCACCCTCCCTCACTATAACTTTTCTTGTGGGCAGTGGCACCATTCATACCAGAGAAGTATGACCTTTATTTTAGAATTAGCAATATCTCACACTGATAAAGTGCCTCAAGAAAACAATAGGATGGGGTGGCACATGTACCATAGCACATTACATTAATATAGCCAGGATAAATAGCTAAAAATGGTACTATGTATAAATTTAATGTATCAACAATGAATGGTTGTAATTCTTCCCTCCTTGAGTTTAAGGAAAGAACTTCCATTTTCCCAAAGGGCTTTTCTTTTAATATTGGGGTGACCAAGAATGATAAATAAGTAAGCAAAACCACAAGTTAAGTGATGCCAGACTTTAGTCTAAGTATACAGTATGTGATTACAATGGTCTCAAACTGCTAGCAGGCAATTACTGTTCACAACAGCAAGGCATCTCAAGAACATTATGTCTGCTGTTAACATATATCAGCTCCATGTGAAGAATGCATTCCTTTAACTGAAATTTGTATTTTATTTTGCTTCCCTGAAATGCAATGTCAGCCCTGAACTTGGGCATAGTGGCACCCCTCCCTAACAAAACAAAAATATTTCTTTGTCATTTTGTCATAGAAATAACATGCACTATACACATAATACAAGGAATTCTACTTCTATCATACAACAGAGGTAATTAAAATACCTTGTAAATTTTTTCCCACATGTAACAACTTTCTGCTCATATTTATACATACATATTTATTTTTGTTGTTGTTATTTTACATATGCTTAAACAAGTAACATGGTAACATGCACTGACTACTCATGCACCTGGGCAGTAGACCTCAGCAGGAATTTTGCTGACCATCCACAAAGACATGGATATGGGGAGGTGGCAAGTTGGGCTAAGCATGAAAAGGGCTATGTTGGAGAAACACGGTCTGTTACAAGGTCTATTAAAATAAAATGGCTATTTTCACTACAAACAAACAAACAAAACTTTAACCTTGTTAATATTATATTGATAGTGAGTAGTCTCTTTCGTACAACATCGTTCTCTTAAGCTTGCATTGTATTATGTACATGTTAAAATATATACCTTATACAAGATTTCCTGTTGATACATGTATATCAAGCACCTAAAAAGAAGCACCATCTGAGCCACCACCAGAGAAGTATTTTATGGCGAAGAGTGCTGCCCAAATTTACAATCGGATGCCACAGATTTCAGGAGGCAGGTGAAGGCAGTTGTGATCACTGAAGGGATGCCGTGGCCTCAGTTTGGCCATAGTGCCATGGCACTCGGTGTCTACTCTAGGCTACTGTGGGAACTGCTATTTCCCAGCACTACTGAGAAAATTTTTGATAGAATAAATCAGCCTGTAGTCAATTCAGTGCATAGTATAGATAAGTCCAAATGCAAAATGTGGTGTGTATTTGCATCTAAATCTAAAATCGTATGTGGTTTTTTTTTCTAAGGAAACGGTATAAAAGTAGGTAATGAGAGTTCTCTGCTTTTGTTTCCAGGGACTGCAAAACACGCAGGTGATTTTGGGGAACATCTTAATATTGTGTACATGGTGCAGAACATAGTATAATGTACAGAAAGCCCTCAGAGGGAAATATAAACTTCCCTTGGCAGACTCCAGTTCTTCAAGAAAACAATGTGTAGGTCAGTATTCATATGTCTTTGATATACTCTAACACCTTTTAAAGAAATACAGCCTAATAACAATAATGTAGTAAATTCTCTTAAGATTTTTTCCAACTGTATCTCTTGCTTTATTATGAACAAACAAGTTTTTAATTCTGATGAATTTTAGTTAGTATAGCGCAGAAAACGTTTTACCATGTACATGTAAAGGGGTGTAATCACTTCCCGTGCACCAGGAATGTCTGCACAGGTTTTCTATTTCCATGCATCTCTTGATGCAGTTATTACTTCTCATCGACTTCTCATCAACTTAACAACAATTCCAAGGGACAGAAGAATGTGCACAAAGGAACAGAAAATATAAACATGAATGATCAAAGTCTGTTTTTATACCACATTAAAGCAATGATTAAGCTTTCCAATGTGACTGGAAGACAAAGAGTTAACACAGGTCAAGGTTTGCTAAACTCAGAACCACCTAAGTTTCAGACACAAACAAATCAAGTGTAATTTTGATTTAACATTTAATATTTCACATATTTCTTTCTAGGACTAGTGATTTGGACGTGATTTTCTTCACCTTTTCATTTTTCTAAAATCTTGTTAGTTCATCTGATCATGAGTGCTTTGCATTTCAGTGCTTGTCTTTCCTAGTGAATTTCTTTACCTCTCTTTGATGTTTACTGTACCTGGCTTTTAAGAACTTACCAGTGGTTCTGAAAATTTCTTGGACTTTATTTTTAGCCTAATTGAGAGATTTTTATTGTTTAACCTCTGCAAATCCCTCCATAAAGAATATTGTAGGAAAACTGAAAAGGTAACAACCTTAAACCCAATTTCTAATACCTACACTTGGTTCCTTGGTGTTTTTTTGTTTGTTTGTTTGTTTGTTTGTTTCTGAAGTCATCTGCACTTTATTCTATTTTAATTTCCCTACTGAGAGATTTTTTTTTTGTTGGTTTTGTAGAAGCTTATCTATATCCAGTAGTTTTGAACTCTTACTGTGGTGATTTGTTTTGGTTTGTTTGTTGTTTTTAATGTGCTAGCACAACTACTGTCAGAAGTGATGAATTTCTATTTGAATTTCAGTTACTTTATTTATTTGCATAAATAGTCCTATTTTTGCTTCAATAATGATATGTCTGCCTGTAGTTGTTAACATCATTATTGTCCAAGTAAAAGATCTGTCAAGAAACAGATAGTTTCTTCCACAGGCTAAAAGGGGGATTTTTAAACAAAAATAACAGTAAGAAAAATCACTTTTTTATATTGAGGTTTGGCTGTACCTTGGCTTTGATCAGTATAATGGTTTTACATAACAGCCTGTGTCTGTTCAAAGTCAATTCACATTTACCTGCAGAGTCCTCATCAAGTGTATTTGTACAAACTAGAAAATTAGAACACTTCTGTTGTATTTGTCATTGCTTATCTGAGGTCTTATACCTGCCCACCATGCTCCATGTATTCTGGAGTCAGCAAAACACATGAGACCTGAAGACATAAATTCTACAGCCTGCCTTGAGTTGGGTACCTCCATCTAAACCCCTGCTTCCTGAAGTGCACCTCTTCCCCAGTTTTGTAGGTTTAAATGATCTGATTCAATATTTTCCTAAATATTCATTTTACTTATTACTGTGCATGAAGTTGGGCAAGTATTTGGTTTACTTTGCTAAGTCAAAGTTAGCTTCAAGTAACAGTATATGCAGTTCCCACTGGTGATCTAAGAAGCCCAGGTGAGTAACTTTCAGAAGGCAAATTTAGGAAGGGTGGCCTTAACATAGATATTAGCTGACAAAAAAAAAAAAAAAAGTTCTTTGCTTTATAGGAAGGTAAAGATTATACTGAACTTATATTTTTTTGATTGATTATTTCAATTCTACTGCCCTTTATTTCACTCCCATGGCTATACTGATGTAACATTAGGAGTAAATAAATAAAAAATAAATTCATTCCTGCTTCCATTTTTAACTTCTTTTTCAGTACTGAGTGGAAAAAGGAAAAATGGGAATTGCCCAAACTTGCAGACTGAGCTTAGCTTGAAACAATCTTAATAAAAAACACAAACATCTCTTGGGAAGCATTTTAGGAAATAGAAACTGCTCCAATTTGGGAGCTGAAAAAACATCGAAGAAAATACCCTGCACATACATATAGATCTATTTGCTTTAAAAATATTGTGCATAGGAAGCTGTTCTTTTCTTAATACTCATATCTGAGTTTTTCAACAGCAAATGTTCGAAGTGGAACATATAGAAAAGGGGTGAGCATGGATTAGAGAGGATTGTACATGATTGGCTCAAGAATGGTAAAACCAATGTTGACCAAGTTTTACAGATATCCTGGACAAAACCTCAGTCTGCAAATTGCAAAGTCCAGATGGAGTTTATTTGAGGGTGTTATGCTCAATACAAAATAAAGAGTTTTTATAGTTAAGACAAAATTAAATCTTAACTACATTTTTCACAGACCAAACTTTTTTCTTACTGTTGAAATTACTAGCTAGGCCACCAGCCATACCACCACAAAGCAACAGAAATTCCTGAGGTCTCTCCTGGTGCTTTGTTTCTATCTGGCCTAACAGACGGACCAGAATCTGGCCTGCAAAGTTATCATTATAATGTCAATATAAATATAATTACATTTTCTCCAGCAATGGAATTAGTGCCACTAGGAAACAAAATCATTTTAGGTTTCTCCTGCTGTGTTTGTACGAGCATAGGGTCTAACTGGCAACCAGGGAAATTTGGCCTTTACGCTCAGATACTGTAATGCTATGCTTTCCATTTCAAGATGAAATTACTACTAGTGGGATTTATGCCATATGAAAAGAATTTTTGTTGCTAAATCTTCTGGTTGTTCAAGCTGCTTTGCTTCACCACATAAAGATAGCTATTTAAATGACTCCACATACATAGATATACAGCTAGATGTGTGTGTGTGTGTGGTGTTGGTAGGGGGTTAGGATGCCTTTTTAGGGAAATTAATGTGAAAGAAATTATGGCAATGTAAAGCAACATATTCAACCAGAATTTACAACGCATTTTCTGTTCCTCATATAGTGAGGCATATGTCACCTTTCGAAGCAAATGTGAAATAGAGCCTTCACACATTCCTTTTTCATTTGTCCAAGCATTAGAAAAGGCTGTCAGCTGCCAAAGATACAAAATACATCCCTGTGATTTTGAATCTGAGTGCATTTTTTTTTTTTTCAGTAGAACTGGTGAGCTTCCTGGTAACTATTTTCTGCAGCTCTGGGCATGTTTGCTTCCTAAGACTCTGCAGGTGAGTGAGGCATCTTGTCTGAATGCATGTGATGATAGGACCCAGCTCACCAGTTTTCACCCATTTTGACATACCTTGGTAGACCTCTCTGAACACCAGGTGCTCCGTCTCTGCTGGCAGCACTCAATAGTAAGCCCTTGGATGTTGCTCACTGCAGGGACCCAGGCAAATGTTCTGAAGATCTTGCAGCAGGCCACATGCCCTCATTTTTCTTTGTGAAAGCAAGAACTGGGAGGGGGGAACAAGTCACTTAGCGGGTAGGAAAGGAGAAGGGCTTGGTTATCCATGGGCTTGTATCCTCAGTTTTGGAGGAAAAGTCAACTAGGAAATAAATGAATCCCTGCAGATTCCAGAAGCTTGTATTGTGCATCAGTAGATTGGCTCTTCACTTACTACCACAGAAAACATAGTATTACTTTAGAATAATGATGAAAAGCTAATTATCCCTACATAAGATTGCTTCTAAACTAATATTGGAGTGACTAAACTGTTCTTAAAAGTGTTCTCAAATGAGATGAAATCAGCCAACTGAAGCCAATGTTCTTTAAACATAGCCATCAGCCTCTTTTAAAACAGTCTGAAGTTTTACTACGTTTTAAGTATTTCAACTGCAGCTTTAGCATTATCCAGCTTCAGTGATTTAGAGCAAAACCTTGCCCTGTTACCAACTGTAGTCCAGCTGGGCTGCTTAATGTTCTATTGTAGACGTAGCAATCTGATGCCCAGCATCCTCAGTAGGAAAAAATATATATATTGCATGGTATATTATTGGTTTTACTACTAAAATTGTTTCAAATAACCACTAGAAAACCTAAAAAAGTATAATACTCACCCTAAAGGAAATATTCTCATGATTTAATCTCAAAGCTTTTTAAATCCCTAGCTTAGTTTTTTTCTTCCTCAGCCAAAGAAGCAACACTTTACTTTCAAGATGTTTTGCTAGCATATGTGTATTAATATTTTTTTAAAATCTCTTTTCCACTACAACTTAAACAGTGAATGTGCTTATTTAATCCTAGGTAGGATGAAATTTGGCTTTAATTACTTTTATACTAATTACATGTTTTTAATCTATGGTTTAGTGAATTATTAGTTACAGCTGCAGTAAGCAAAATACACATTGGCTGAGGGAAATGTGTCCCTTTGTAGATGGTCTCTGTAGGTCCTTATTAAATCCTACTAAACCTTATGAGTTAAGGCCTAAGTAGTTTATAGGCTTAGAGCAAATGAGCACATTTCAGCCTCTGAGGTTATCGTTGACATCTCCCCAGTAGGTACATAGTACCTCTGCTGTTTTTCTAACCATTTTAGATATATATATAGTAATGACAATAATAATAAAGGCTTGAATGTAAAGCCCAAAAAAACTTATCACAGAAAATTTAAAATCACATACTTTCAGACAGGATTTTGTTCCAAAATTTTGTATTGTTTCTAATTTTCCTCTGCTTTTTTTTCTTTTTTTGTTTCATTGTTATGATTTATCAGTGGGGGTCAGATTCTTAAAGTCAAGATAGGACAAGGCTATTGGCAAACTTTCTGGGTATCTAGATTTAAAGTTTTAGTTGGACAGTTTTCTGGTATGCAAAAACTGTACACTTGTATTGCTCTTCCCTTTGCACATCTGAAAACTACAGCATTAAAGAATTAGCCCCTGGAGTGTTATTATCCACTTCCAACTGATGGGATACAAAGAGGCTTGATGACTCCTTCAATACACTGTGGTAAAGCTGGGAAAGGAACCCAGATGTCCTGGTTCCTCATCCTGTCCCTGAATCACAAACCACACACTCTTGCCTTATTAGTGACAATCACAGCACATGGAAACAGACTATTTATACTTAAATATTTCATCTGTTCTCACTCATTATTCCCTAACTCACCAATATAATTATGTTGGCAAGGCAACAATATCTTTTCCCCAGTAAGCACAAACAGATTGTTAGGTTTTCTGCTGAGATACAAGCTGTGGAAGAAGAGCTCCCAAATAACCAAGATCAAAAGCATCGCGATTTCTTGGTAACTCAGAAATTGGAGAGAAGATTTTTTAACATCTTCCCCAGTTGGCTCTGACAGATGTATTAAAAGGATGGATGAAGAGAAGTTAACATTGAAAAGAATCAATTCAGAAAGAGTTAAGCCAAAGACTAAAAAAGAATAAAATGGTCCTTTGGAAAGTTCTTTCTGTTTGTTTGTTTTAATTTTTAATTTTTATTTTCTACCAGTTCAGGTCTGGCTCCCTGAGACAGTGCAGGGGACACATTCATCCCACAGGGGATTTGCATGAGATGTACCCCAATGTGGTTCACATTCCTGGCTTGGCACCTTAAAACCCAGGCAAGGCTGAGAAAACTATGAAGTGACTATGGACAGGTCTTGGGGATGCTGGAGACTTCAGCACCATGTCACAGCGTGATTCCCATCTCTCTCACGCTAACGGGAATGTTGCAGCCACACACATACACTGGATACAGCTTGCCAGGGAAAGGCTCTCAAGCCTGCAGATGTAAGACAGGTTCTCTGCAAAGCACAAGACTAAAGGTGAGGGGATTGAAATGAGCAGGGCATTTAACTGACAGCTTTGTTTGCAATTGGTAAAGCAAACAGCACCATAGCAAGCCATTTGGTATCTAATGCACTGTTTGTTTCTTCTGTTCAAACAAAGGTGAGAGCAGAGGAGGCTATGAGATCTAAAGCTCATGGTGGCTCAAGGTGTTCAACTGGATCCATAACGAGAAGAACACATCAGTTACAGTAAGCTAACAGACATGAAAAAATGCAGTTTTGCCACATCAATACAGACCCAGTCAATTGTTCTAGTTTGGGAGGCTTGCCCTAAGTTTGTAGCCAGATCTCTTTCAAAGTCCTTTCCAAACAAACTACTCATAATACTGTGTAAAGGTTGTTCAAACAATATATAACAGTCCTCAGAGTCTGCATAACAATTAACTTTGCATAGAAAAATAAGATCTGTGCAAGATAAATCTGAGCTATTCATTGTATAAATGTTACAAATTGTCTAAGTGACTACATATCCTCTGATTAGCAAAAATCACGCTTGTTTTGTCAAAATATTTGCTTCCATATATGGGGCATAAAGACGCACCCTGGGCAAAGCATGAAAGCCATAGAGAACTTTGCTACTGAAGCCTGCAACGCCACATTTCGCTCTATATAAGGCAGGGACCTCTCAGCTATTGACACTGCCAGGCTGCCTCGTCCTGGGACTGGAGTGGCAGCTGCAATCTGTCTCCCAGATGTCGACGTCTGAACGCTGCATTATATAAATGTCATGTGCCCCGTCCTTGGTGTTTTTCAGAGAAATGCAGAAGCCTGATTGCATTTGTTAACTTGTAGACAACACGTACACTAGTACTTCTCAATAGGGAGTTTATCACCATAAAGCTTTAGGCTCCAAATTTCAAGCAGATTTGGAGCAGAGGCTGAAAATACATCGATTCATAATGTTCTTGTTGAGGTTTCCAAAGCAATTGCCAATTAACAGGAACACTTTGGCTGGAACTGTTGGTCTGCTGCCTTATGCCCTCCCAAATGTATCCCTAGGAAATCTCCCGAGCAGTGGAAAATAACAAGTTGAATCCGAGAGCGTCAGTGCTCTTTAGCCATCTCCTATGTATTTTCATCTGTTACTAAGTCGGAAACATTCTGCTTAACGTGTGCTCTTTTGTTTCCTTTGCCTGGTGTTGGGTGACTCAGTGCAGCCCCTGTGGGATCCTGAAGCATTGCGTTTCTTAACACTGCAAGTGAAACGGGCACCGTAACCTCTGCACAGCCCCGGAGCTGCATAGGAATTATTTCCTGCTCTCTGCAAAGGAAGATGCCTTCAGATTTTGTTCAATGATAACAAATACAAAAAGGGAGGCCTCCCCTGGCTTCAGCAATCCTATCCCTCCCACTGGGCTTTGCTAGAGGTGGCAGAGTTGAAACTCCCAGGTTTTATTTTCAGAACGTGGTCATTTCTCATTTTGATATTTTAAAGTAAACAACTCTTGGTTCCCATGTATTATTCAAATAGAGAGGAGTGGGTATCCAACGCATGCATAATCAAATATCTAGCCTGCACCAGACAACCTTCTCAGACCACTTGAGAAATTTCCCTATCACTATTGTTATCATTCTCCAGCCACTTCCTTCCATTATTTAACACTTCAGATATCATGTCTCATGTTTACCCCACAGCTCAGCTGTGGGGTGAAGTGACCGTGGTCTGTATTCCTGCAAGCTTTCTTGGACAGTGCTTGCCCACAGCAGAAGAGAGCTGCGCAGGTGTGGCTGCTACCACATTCAGACAGAAATAACCTGTTGGAAGTAGATTTGTTTTCAAATCTTTCCGTGTGAAAATATCCATTTCAGAGAGGGGAATTAATGATTTTTAACCTGCCTATCACTCTCTTTTATTGCTGGCATGTAAAATCCTTACTGGGTTTGAAGTTGTAAGTGGAAACGCTGAGGATATTTTCATTGCTGCCAAAACATTTACATGAAACTGCAATTCAGATCAAATTATCTTGAAACTGCAAAGCGTGCAGAGATTCCAAATTAGTCAACTCGGAGAGATTATTGCATATTGAAATTACACAGCAGAAGCCAGCAGAATGCCACCGCTGCTTCTGACTCACAAAAATGGCAAAAGCAACTCTTAAAAGAATTCTTCTCCTTAAATGCACAGTTGTAATGGGCACAAAGAGCAGTATTTGACCCAGTATTTCACTATCAGAAAAACATAGCTTGTCATGTTTTCAGGCAGGCTGGTTAGTTCTGGCCATTGTTTCCACAATGCTTTAGGTACAAATGGAACTGCTCAGAGAGAACAGTGGGGTGGGTGGTAACGGGGCATGGAAGTGATGCACAAGCAAGCTAAAGCGTAAAAGTAAAGAGCTATGGCTACTTGCAAAAGGACAGGCTGAAAATATAAATTCAGAAGTGCACTAGGCTGTCAAAGCTGGTCAGTGCTGGCAGGATACTGTTACCCGCTCTATTTTATTTCTTTGTATCTCACATATATTTTTCAGCAACACCCTAGTTATGGAAAAGACTCAAAAATACCAACGAAAAGAGGACTGGGGCAACATCATGAAATTCAAGTCTTTAACGAGCCACCATTCAAGATATTTAGAAGTGTTCTTCCTTTTCATAGTATTCTAAATAATGTTACTGCTGCTGTTCTATGGGGATTCTTCAATGCAAGGTAAAGTAGTGTTAAAGGCTTCCCTAAAATATACCATGGTTCCCCCAAAAAGCCATAAAGGTAATTTTTCAGCAATCACAGGAAGGGCTGTCTGATTTGGCAGCAGAGGTCAGGGGTCATTTCTATTTGGCAGAGAGGGGATGGACAGATGAAAGCACCCTATACAGAGAAAATTTTAAGTGAGAAAAACAGAAACTTCTAATGCTTCTCTCAGAAAGGAGCTGACAAAAGTAAGGGCTGCAGAAAGAGCTCACTCATAAGGAATATTGTGGGTGGCACTGGAGGGGGGTCCTTTGCCCTCTTAGTCACTGGCAGTTGGAAACTGACAGCTATAGCTTATGTGTTCTTCTGTGCAAGTTTGCAGTTGATTTGTTCTCATTCATTCAGTGAAGTATCCTGAAAAGCAATGGGATAACACATTATAGGATAATCCATAGATGTCATGACTATTGATGCTCAATATCCTTAAGTATGACATATTTGTCATGGTACAAAATCTCAACAATTTCAGAATCATCTTCCTATTTTTGTTAAAAGGATACTCTGCCCTGGTGAGTGTCCTGCATGTAAGGACAGTCATGGTTTCACAAAATCAGATCAATTTTTATTTATTTTTTTGTCATTAAATTCTTTACCCAGAGTTAGCAGAAAGAAGAAATGAATGATGCTACACAGGATAGCGTGGCACTGGCTTTTTAAATTTAACACAAATTTCTGCTAAAATACTAATAAAATCCTTCTGTCCTGCAAATTTGACATAAATTTTTGACTGAAAATGGGCTAAAGCTGAAATAACCCATTAAAAAGAGAGACTATCTTGTAACCTAGTATTTCCTTCATACTTCTTTAATTCAGTATGTATTTTCATGGATGTATTTTCAACATATGCATACAAAGCCAATGATCTCAGAATGCTTGAAACACTGATGTCATGTCACACCTCACTATCTTGAGTATTTTTGATCCCTCAGGTTAGGTGGTGAACTTGGCATCACCCACAAGGAGAGGTGCACAAAGTTTCCTGCATCTTCTCCTTTGTCACAAACTCTTGATGCTTCCAGGAGAAATAGCTAGCTCTTCATTCTCCACCTTAAAAAAGTGAAATCTATCTTATGGCTCTGATTCAATAGTGCATTTCAACACCTATTTTAAAGCATCAGATGAGCTCCAGTGAGCACAGGAAGTGTGTGGGCAGTCTGAATGACATAGGCGCATATGTAAATATTCTGTTGAATGGGGCTTCAAGTTGCATTGGGGAAAGCATGCAGTTAGATTAAAAAAAAGAGCACAACTATTCCTTTTCTTCTATTTTCAACAGTATTTATCTGTATTTTTCTTAAAGTAAGGGTGTGTGAAAAGCTGCACTATTGTAGATAGAATATATAAAATGTGATGCATTAAAGATTTGGAAATTAATTTCTCAGGGGACTTCTTTTCAGTCTAGACTATAATGACATATTCTGCCAATTTGTTTGTCCGGTCTCCCTGTGAACATAACATTTGATACTGTAGGCAATGTAAAGATCTCTGATAAGCTTGCTATTTCCTGCAGTACTCTATGTTTATGATGAAGATTTTTAAGTATTGTGGCATACTTCCTCAAAACATATACAGTAAGTTAAATATCAGATCCTAAGGAATAGAAAAAAAATTGAACATATTTGCTAAATCTTCCTTCCTGCCTTTTTTGACTGATTTTTTAATTATTATTTTATTTTTAGTTAATAACATTTTACTTGCAACATTTATATCCAAATGACAAAAGGAAATTTTGAACCAGGAATTTCAGGTCTGGTCAAAAGCAAACAGAAATAAGGAAGATTAATATCAGTGTACTGAGTACTGGACTTAGTCATATATCCCACTGCTCTGGCACTCAAACTGGAATTCCTGATAGACGAGAAGGTGCAGAGCAATCCTGCAGCAGTTCTTAATGTGTTACCTTGCCTCCAGGGAACTGTAACTTCCAAAAGTTTAAACCGATCAAGTCCTAAGTCCTTGCAGAGACATGAGAAACGTAATTGTCTCAAGAATGTCTCATATCTTGCAGTATCTCAGAATTCCTCATAGCAAGAAGTTCCAGGACATGTACATTCAGTGCTGTCTTCTTTGTCCACATTTTGCACATTTTCACCATGTGCCCTCATGTTTCTTTCCAAGCTAGACTATTCTTAACATTAAAATCCCTGGTTAAGACCAGGCATCTTTGAGTTTTTGCTGCTGTGCCAACATCCTCTGTGTTTACCCTCTCTGTGGTGCATATATACTTCTGAAATGCTAGGACTCGGCTGTGATCTTGCTCATGACCTCAGCCTAGACCCTTTGGTAGCTACTTACTCAGTACCAAGCAACTGGGAACTTCTGGATGTGAAGCACTGGAAACAAAGCTGAACATAAGAAATAACAAGCATTTCCACCAGAAAGATTCCAGCAACTAAGCCAATCTTCAGGGGGTAATGCTGACTCATTCATGGTACTTCTTGCAATGTCTTTATTGCTTTTCAGTTAAGCACAATGCAGCTGTGTATTAAGCCACAGGCATACTATGGGACAAAAGGCACATCTGGCTTTTTCACTGTTTTTAATTTTCTTCCTTCCAGTTATTACTGGGCCTATTGTAGTGGCAACAGCTAGAAATGAAGAAGAGTTGTGCTCAAATTTTGCCATTTCAGATTCATTTGTAAAATTCATGTTGTTTTCTGAAAATGTTAAATTTCACTACAAGAAGTTAGATTTAAAAAAATAATAAATTCTAATTATCCTTATTAGTCTGGATATTTTGGTTCAAATTCAGAATGCAAGAATATTTGAAATTCAAATAAAATACAAGCTGAGCGTAGAAGAAATCCAGGAAAACTAACTACTGTTCTTCCCATCAGATAACTCAAACATTGTTCTAAAAAGTTACTGGAACCACCTGTAGGAATAATCAGATCATGATTTACACAGGCAAGCAGTAGCTAGCTAATTAAGATCTTCTGGGAAGCTGCCACACAGGGTAAAGGTGCTCAAGAGAGCTGGTGAGTTTTTCTGAGAGCTGAGGACCAAATCAGCTCTTGTGCGTGAAGACAGAAACTATGTCAGAAGGCTCTCTTGACTAATCAATAAGCTTATTAATGGGTGGAAATGGAAATGCAACCACACAAGAAGCAGAAACAAGCATGGGCCATCAAGGGCAGGGGTATGCTCACTTGCTTGGGTACTTAATAGTGAAATGGGGAAGGCTGAAGCCTTGCTGGAGTTAAAATTAAGGGGTATAAGAAGGTAATAGGAGGTTGCTACAAGTGTATTAGCAGCAAAAAGACCATTAATGTTTCCTGCAAATTGATTAGAATTTTACTTTCAATGAAGATCCAGACTTAGTTTTCCTGCCCTCTACTACCTGGACTCAGCTGCATGGATGTGTTTCTGCTCAGAGAACTGTGTTAAAAGAATAGATAAAAAGGGTTTTTTATTTGTTTGTTTGTCTTTATTCTGTGTGTTTCTGAAGTATCCAGTATTGAAATTATTCTCTGTTGTCCTTGCATTTAGAGAAATATCTCCCCTGGCTGTGTGCAGTCAGCTCTAGTTTGAATGTAAGAGAATATCTTTGAGTTGGTCTTCATCATCACCCAGAATCACACTACTGGGAATGGCAGCAGTATCCTTTGGCACTGTGAAGTCACCTCCAGAAATATTGGCTCATGGCTCTCCTCAGGTTATGCCAATATCATACGGTGAGTAATGGTTAGACCTGGATTATCAAATGTGACTGCAGATAAATGAGGTACACCTGAACTAGATTTAAACCACCTATGAAGGGACTGAAAGCCACGTAGTCTAGAGCTTGCCCCAATCCAAGGAGCTGATTTTTGAATCTATTTCTATGCAAATCATTGTGATTTCTGCACTGTGGGGACAGTGTGACAGCTACCATAGTTTTGAAATCAGCCTTGCTGAGTTTGTCAGCTGCTAGTTCAAGGCTACATGACTTGAAGTTTATGGAAACCAGGACAGTCATCCAGAAGGCATGTCATCTCTATTTGAAATAGTTTATTTACACTAGCTTTTACATATATGTAATGAACAAACTTGGATCAAAGCCATCCAAGGGCTGTAACCCTCTCATGGGAACCACTCTTCAAATTAGATATCTAGACCTAATTAAGTTGACTTTCAGAGAGGAATCTATTAGAGTGCGCCAGTGGTTTATGTGACTCTTGCTAAGCAGTGCCATTTCTGTTTGGAAACTTCTGGAACAGTGGAAAAAAATAAATATATTATTTTAGACAATAGGTCTCTAATGTTGCACTAATTTTGTCAACGTTGTCTATATATAGCAAAACTTCAAATTGTGCTAAGGGATGAAGGAGTAGTATGAAATAATTTAATGGAAAGTAGTATGGAGTAGTATGAAATAATTTAATGGAAAATTGGCAATTTAGACTACCTGTAGTCTCACTAAAAGTAATTACACTGGACTAGATGAGTAATATTTGAGCCTGTAATCTGCCAAAAAAAAATAAATGTTGTCTATTCAAAATCCACTAAATTGTGTTCTGTCACAGTCTCTGCCTTTCTGAAATGGAAAGTAAGATGTAGCAATCTTCTGTGGATTTTCTGGCATTCTTTATAGGATGTTTTTCATATTCTGTACCTTGCACAATTACAGAAAAAGGCCTCCAGGCTTGTAACTGCTTTCTGTCTTGTTATATAGACCATCCACCAGCTGGGATTGTTGCCTTCCCTTATCTCTCTAGTGCCTTTTAGGTAGTTGGACCCAACTATTTTGGAATAAATCAAGTGAGCATCACTGGTTTTCCTTTGCTGAGCTACCTTCCCTCTGATGGATAAAGTTCTCTTTTACCACATTGGGGTGATCAGTAGGAGTTTGGTGCACTCCTTTAAAAAAAAAAAAAAAAAAAAAAAGCGTGTCTGCAGTGAGCCACTGTTTGAATTATTATGCAATACAGTGGTTGTAAGAATAAACTCTTTAAGTCAGAGATCCTAACAAATAACTGGTTATTATAACTAGCTGAAAGCACCATTTTCTGTTTCTTGCTGGAGGACTTGTCTGTGCTAGAGGTTTTTCTTAGCACTGCTTCCAACATTGTATTTAGAGTACCATCCTTAGGTCAGTCTAACAAAGAAAATTCTTTTTACACTTTAAAAATGCTGATTCTTGTTTCCTCTTTAATTTTATATATATATATATATATATTATATATATGTATATACATGTATATATACACACACACACACACTGGGAATCTCTGAAATCTCTGCAATTGTACTAATTACTAAAAGTAATTGACAATTAGTAATTGGCAGTGGCATGGTTAGCTTTTAAACTGATTCTAAATCAGACTTCAGTTCAATCTACTTTGTGTTAGTTTTAAATCCATTTTTTTCTCCCATCTGACTTTTTAAAGCCTTTGCAGAGGATAATTATGAAGAGAGTAACACAGATTTTTAAGGAGATAGTGTCTTTCAAACAATATGTCTGCTCTTGTAGAACAAGTTTTAGCATAAATTCCAGTTACAAATTAAAACAAAAATCAAAGCATTATGTGCCTCCTTCTTCCGTCCTGTCAGCAGCTCTCTGTCCCCAATGTGTTTTTTAATACCTCCTTTGTACTTCCTAATCTTTTCATAATGCAGCCAGTTCATCCCCAGCTTCTCTGTGAAGGAAGATGCTCAGCCCCTGGCTGTATGTTGTGTGGATGCACGCCTTCCAGGTGGTTTGGAGAGCAAACACCAGCTATCCTCTTTTCCATTTCAAAAATGGAAAGGACAGGGAGACAAGCCAAACTAAAAGTCAATCTGCAAAAATATATGCTTGAGTTCCTGTGCAAGTTTGTGAAGAGAAGGGTCCTATGTTTTTAGAAAGTAGTAGTATTTCATATCGTATTGTATTTGTATACAGTTGCTGTACATTTTTGCTTCAAGTGGTTACACGTCAACATTCATAAAATGAAACCATATGGTGTGGTTATTATTTCCAATGTCAACTGTTACTAGATTTAAACACCCACCTTCTCTGGACATAATTTTTTTTTTTCCCCGCATTAGAGTACACTGCTGAAGAGTCTTTTGTTTTGCTTTAATTTATGTTTGTTTGAGGCCCAGTGCAATAGAAGATTCATTTTGGTGGAAGACTACCTGGCATTAATGCAATACAAACAATAAGCGGTAATAAAAATTTGTTGTTGTTGTTTGCAAATCACAATAATATCTAACAAACATTTACTTTTTGCCTCTTTAACCAAGCTGATTAAATGATTCACTTCATGCACATTCACTGCATCCAGATGTAATTCCAGTTTCAGTACACAGGTTGCCAAAGATTTGTTGAAAAACAGCTATTTTACAAGTGTTTTTTGGTAATCAGTTTTCAGTGTACAAGATTTCTGTGATTTGTTTCATTGTCATAACTTGTTACAGCAAGGGTGAGAAAAAGATCTAGGTGTTCTTCTTGACCCCGTGAAGAATATGAGCTCTCGGCAGCAGGTAATCATACAAATACAATAACACTATACAATTTAAATGTGACATTTGGATTCATCAGGATAAATATTTCAGGGGTAGACAGGAAAGTGTTAGCACCTTTGTATGAAGCCCCGAGAAGAGTGCTCTACACATGGAAGGCTATGTAAAATTCTGGCCATCTGCGGTTAAGAAAGATGATCTCAGATGGATGCTGGAAATGCTGGTAGGATGGTGGGAGGAGTGGAAAACCTATTATACAAGAGAAAAGCAAAGATCACAGCCTCTGCAGCCTAACAAAATTAAGAGGGCATTATAGTCATTGTCACTGAATAGGTTCTGGAGATAAGTATCAAGGGAGAAATGCTATTTCAGCAACCTAAGAGCAACATTGGTATTAGGAACAAGCAGGGATAAATTGCCTATAACTAAATTTAAGCTGCAAATTATGATGGTTATAAGCAATGAGATCCTAGAACTGCCACAGGGTAAAAAGAGCTGAGTGTTAACTCTTTCTAAGACTTGAGCTCACTAAATTTTCAAAAGGGGTTTTTAAGTGAGACTACGTTTGTTACAGTCCCTCAAGAGTCCCTTCCTTTGTAGAAGGCAGAAAACGAAGGGTGTCCCAGACCCCTCCTAACCCAGGGGCTGCTTGGATTTCAGGCTGGTATGATCAGAGCTCCCTGGTTTTATGTTCTCCAGCATAACCGGGATCACTAGAATTTTCAGAGTAATGATATAAACTAAAGGAAACAGCATTTGATTTTTCAGGTAGATACTGATGCTTCAAATTGATGACAATTTTGGAATTAACCAAGTACCTATCAGCAACTTGGATGCTGATCCACACACAGTATGGTACAAAAAAAAAAAAGAAAGAACACATTAAAAGGAAACAATATTTTTATTAATGAGTATATTCAGATATCTTTAAGGTTTATTTCTTTTTCCCAGGGGAGTTCGTACAGTTATATACTGAGTTGGAAGTGTCTACCCTGATGATCCACAAGGATCATCGAGTCCAACTGCTTGTGTGCACACAGGACCATCCAAAATTCAAATCATGTTTCAATGTTTTCTGGAAGAAAACCCTTCAGCACCCCTAAATGGCCAGGTCTCTGCCCAGGAGCCCTGGGGACAGTGCAGGCTCACAGGCACCGACCCTGCCATGGGCTGAGCCCTGCTTCCCAGGGGCTGGGGGACACAGAAAGGACTAAGACTGCAGGAGGGGCAGCTGAAGGGACAGATATGGCATGTCAGGGAAACAAACCAAACAAAAAACAAGACACATTAAGGAAACACTGTATTTACCTTGCATAAAGAGCTATGATGCACTCATTTCTTTCCCAGAATGGGGCCTCTCTGAAATATGCTACATAAAATAATCTTCTACCCCATCCTTTGTTTTCTAACTCCTTACATGTTTTTAAAATGTACCCCTGCAAAACCAAAAAAGAACATCTTCTTCCAGTGACCTAAATTTACAGAAAGACAAATCCATTGTCTTCAAACAGCATGAGAACTTCCAGCTTCATAGGTTGCTGATCCTCTCCTTCCCAAGCCAAAAAAATTTCTGTTAACCAGTAACACGATTGTCTTATGGCAGCATATTTGTAAAATGTTCTTTATATTTTCTTTCCTATTAAACTATGATATTATTTCTGGGGTTCTGTATTAAGAGCAAGCTTTAATCCTCTGAATCATCTGCCTCAGAGGCAGGTGCTCAGAGGTGACCCACACCACCTTCCTTCTTCCCCTGTTCTGGGGGATATAATTGCTCTAACTAAGGATCTTGTACAGACTAGAACAGCCACAGGACTACTTTAATCTTCTTCATTAAATTAGCAAGGTCAGGATGAAGGAATTGGCTGCACATACTATTTCACCTCTGCCCCTCAACATCCCTGAGACCCTGCCTGTGCTGTTCAAGCATCCGTCTCAACAAGAAAGAAAGGGGAAGTGGAATAAACACATCACCCAATGCTACAGAATCAGCTGGCTGCTTGACGTTTATGTTGTATTCATTTTTTTTGTCACAGAGGTAGTAAAGTGTGATTCCAGCAGACCCAGAGACTGCCTCTTGGAGAACCTGGCACATGATCACTGGCCCTTTTTGAAATGACAAGCAAGCCACAACAAAAGAACAGGAGTCCATTATTTTGGAAGTAAGTGTTTCTGTACCTGGACGCTATGTTCTCATCAAGTGGTAGAGATGCACAAATTTTCTTTAGCAATACTGCCATTTTGCTTGCTTGGAATGGCCCTTATGTGTCCTTGTCTGTATCTAACACTGACAAATTAACAAATAATGTGCACCTTAAAATTTCTGTTGTAAGCTTGCTTTCTCTGGCTGATAACAAGTTTCCAGTAAACTCAGTTTGTGCTATAGATGCAAAGGAGTTTTTTGTCAGACTAATTCCTTCCTAACCATGGATAATCATTATCCACTATAAATTACCTAATTATCTTTTTTTTTTTTTTTTTTTTTTTTTTAATTGTGTGGAAAAAGAAACAAGGAGTTTGGTTGCCAAATCCCTCAGAAGTGGCCTAAATGCTCATTGTCTAACTGAGATCACAGATTCAGACTGTTGTCCCATTGTCCAGCATCGGTGCATGCAATAGCCTGGCCTCATAAAACAGACATTTAGCTGAACAGAACCAATTAGCCCTCCATCGTTGCCCCTGTTCACAATAGAAAAAACAGCTGATGTTCCCTTAACTTGAAACAATAGGAGGATATGCATGGGCTGTGTAACTCTTACAAGCAGAGTAACTCTTTCCAGAGTGAGACCGTGAGAAAGTAAAGCCCATAAATGCCCTTTCAGTGGATGAACTCCTGAACAGTCTTTTATAATGTGAACTCATCTGTCAGCTGTCTGTAGATGCACTTTTCTTTAGAAAATCTCAGTTCAACTGCAGCATGCCAGTTTTTAGTGATAAACTATTCTGCTGAATAATATTCTGTCTCAGAACTGTATTCATCCCAGTATTGATTTATTCAGCAACATCTTTTCCCCCCAGCCCTCTTTTACATTCCTTACCATGCTTGCACCTCTTCCTAATGGTCTCAGAATAGCAATGACCACCGATGAGAGTATGGCAAGAACTGAATGTTGCTTCTAACAATAGCAGTGAGGCTTCATTTAAGATTAAGATGCTGAGAAAATTCAAGTGAAGAAGCTGATGAGCTCAGAAATTCAGGCCTTCCATATGAATTCAGTAATTTACTTTCTTTTGACTGCTTTCTGCTCCACCTAGTTGGGATGTTGCCACCACATCTAATGTCTGAATACCAAGAACCCAGCTCCTGCTAGTGACAAGGCTGTGTTCACAATATGACTCCCTCTCTTCAAAACTAGTATATAGCATTGTCTCACTTCCAACCCACAGTGTTTTCCAAGCACCTTCAGGCAACAGTTGCAAGTATGAAACTCTTTGGACAAAGAGGCCTTCATTAATGGCAAGGCAAAGATACCATTAACTTCTGAGAAACAATGCACAATAAATAAAACCATCTATTCATTCAGTACCTTTGGCAATTGTCCTGTGTCTTGCTCGCCAGCTGATGCTGTGAATTTCCTGTAGGCATGCATTCTTTCTGAAAATCATTTCTCCTTCCCTATCTGCTAAATTTCACTGTAGTTTAGCAGTATTTGGACACTGTAGCTTCAGAACTCTGAATCCTGCTTAGGCAGGCCTGTTTCCAACCCCCTGCAAATCCACACACTGTTGTATTCTGAATTCCCTTCCTAAAGCCCCATCTAAAGGTCTCATTCTATTTCATGGCTCAGTAAAGGAGTTTTCAGTGATGATGTCTGAGTTCTGCTGCTGTTACTGATGGTTTGAGTAAAAAAGACTTCCCTTTGTTCAGCTCCATCATGACCATGTCTCTCCATCAAGGCTACTTGTTAAATCCTTTGCCAGAGCTCTTACAGAGGAGTCCTCCCAGTATGAAAGGCTAAGAGTGGTAGGACTTTGCTCGTTTAAATGTGTTATCTCCCCAAAATGCCACTGTAGGAGTGAGTAGTGAAAGACATAGAAAGGCCATATTTTTTGTTAACTAACTGGTGGTATCGGAGAGCCCCTACCTCTCTGTATTATCTGTCCTTCCAGTGATCTGGATGAATAACTGAACAGACTAGTTTCATGGACATTCTTCTCTTGCTCACCAATAGATGGGAGCAGAGATTTCTCTACTCATGAAATTTTGAGGGTAAAATGCTTGCAGTTTTTTGAAAGACTAGAAGGGGAAAAAAATAAAACCAAACAATGACGATATAGCTCATTCATGTGCCCACAGGGAGAAGTATATTGTTTAGTTTAGTAGCATAGAAATGAGGTTTGTAATGGAAGTCAAATGGAAACCAGGAGTCAGCACTCTTGAATTCTTTAACCTTGGAAATCTCCGTTACGGTATCTAGTGCTGGTCAAAGGTATTTAATACATTTACAACCTCTCATTGTTATTTCCCAGATATAAGCATGTTTTGCTTGGATCCAGGCCTTTACAAAACCAAATAAACATGTCCTAAACTTCCATTCATTTTTCTTAAAAGATCAAAGACGAAAAGCTGTCCAGATGTAAATAGCTAAGCCTCTAATGAGACGATCAGTGAATTGTTTCTCTCTTGTACTATAAGCACTTAAATTAAAATATTGCACTTAGGGCACTCTGCACTTTCTAACTCGTATAGCAGGAGCCAAATATCTAACACAAGCCAGACAAAAAACTTCAGCAATTAGCTTTCAACATAGGTCTCCAGCCTCTGACCTTTCTTGTTCATCAGAGGCAAGCCAAATGCTTTGTTAAACAATATTAATTGCGCCTGGCACTTCTCTAGAGCCAGAGACGTCACAAATAGTTTCCTATTAGCAGGAGGCTGTTTGCAAGAAGCAAATTCACGCATATGTCTTTTCAACAGAGGCTGACTCAGCCATACTAGAGGTGAAGAGAATTCTGATCCTGTTCTCTGCATGCTGAACGTGGATGTGGAAGGGGAGCCTCTACAGAGGTAACACGCGCATGGTGCTATGTTGTGCTGCTCTTTGCCATCCCAGGCTTAACACCTCCCCTGGCCCAAGGGTCTATCCACTACATCCTGCACTTGCTGATCCCTGCAGCCATCCTATCTAACTGCACACATATCACTGAAGTGCTCAGATTAGGACTTCTTTGTACTGGCAGCGAGGGAAAGAAATGTTTGGAGAGGCACACTTTGGCTGGGCTGAGCTGCTTCTTGCCACTGCCAGTTTGCACCACATACAGATGGGGTCTGGAGCTAGTAGGCACTCACCTTGGGAAGCTTAGTCAAGTGTCACAGTAAGGCAGGATGAACGTGGGATAAAAGGCTTGATTTATGTATGTATCAGAAGACAGAAAGCTGCAGCTTTCCTGCTAAATGGAGTCCTGCTGTTACTGTCTAATTTCAAGGGTTTAAACATGATGCATCACATTGTGTCTAAACTGTTGTCAAGTCACTGTAACTCCAGTGGAACCCGTAGACTTTCTCCTCTTCTGCAACATGGTGAGGTTGAAATTTTTCAGCCCATCTTAAAAACTGTTGGATTTCTCCCCGTGAATTTCTGGCCTTAGATGCCAAGAAGATTAAGTAATCATTGTAGCAAAACCTAACTGCAGCTGATTGCCACATAGCAACTGCCTAGTCCTGGTGTCTCCATTCTGCAAAAAGCAATTAATTTCAGAAAGCGAAGCAAAATAACTCTTCTCACTTACAACAAAGGAGCAATTGATATTATCATTTGTGCTGATCCATGCTGACATATTAAAGTAAGCAGCAGTATAAAGTAAGCAGTATTTGCCTTGGCTTCATGGATTTCACATTTTTTCTAGTCTAAATTTAAAAGAATATGCAAATGCAGCTCATTTCACAGTTAAATACCATGTATCTGCTTAGAAATACTTTGGGTTGAGATACATGCTAGTCAAAATTGTAGTCTGAGCTCTCCTGTTTCTTTCAGCTTTTCCAACAATAAATGTATCAGATATTCCTCGAGGGAAAACATCCCTCCTGGAGCCCTGTGTTGTGTACATGCCTTTGCACATGGCACAATCTGAGCTTCCTCTTTCTTCCTGTTTTACTTTATCTTGCTCTCTTCAAAGCTTCTCCATGGTGAAAACATTGAGAAAATCTTGTTATGGTCCCAGTAGCTGGAGTTTTCTGGATTCTTACAAATTACACTACAAATTGATGCTAAAGCAGTCCTATTGCCTGCATAGCCTCAATTCCAATTGCTTAATAGTTTTCTTTGTCTGGTCTGGTCTCACTAACTGCTCTGGAACATGGACAGAGGTTTACAATATGTTGGTACACATTTGGGGTCCACTTGGTATGAGATGCCACCAAGGACTACACAGGTGAACCAGACCCCCACTCCAGTGATGGAAATAACAGCTTTCAGTAGCTGCTGCAGCAGAACATGGGAGTCTGAATAGGAACAAGTTTTATTCTCTGCTACATTTGAAGTCAAGAAGTAGAGTTTGTACTTAGGAAGCAACATCAAGACTCTGTTCAGTTTTTCTTAGAGTCCTGAATAGTAAACTACTGCTGGTAAGACAGATCTATGGGGCCTAGCCCTCCATATCTTGGCACGCCTGACATTTTGCCAGCTCCTGAGGTGCTGTTAGACACACACTGCCCCTCCCTTACATCTCATACTGCTTTGGCAGAAGTGGGATATAACCAGAGAAATGTTCTGCCTAGGTCACAGGTTAATCTTTTTAATTGTGTCTTTGTTTTTTAAATAGGTGAAAATTTTAAAAAGGAAGAGTTAAGGAAAGTCAGAAGTTACACCAATTGGGTTAAAACACACTCCTTCTGCAGTAACCAGGAATTACAGGTGTAAGTTGTAACAGCTAAAATACCCATCAGTGATAAGGGCTTTGTATCAGCAAAAACAGTGCTGTAAAGGTTGATTCAGTGGCATTCAGATGTAAAACCTTGCCCCACCAGAGGCATCTGATGTGGGATCCAGAGCGGGAAGTGATGCCTGGAGAGGGACAGAGCTGGGGGTTACATGGACAAAGGTTACACTACACTATAAATGGCAAATTGCTTTTGAGAAATGATTTGGTTTGAGATCTACTGCTGACCAGGGATAACAGAATATCGATTTTTCTTAATAGAAAAGAAAGGTAGTAACAAAGAGGTTGAAACAAATAGAAGCAGTTTTACTGTACTGTATGTCCTCCCTCCCCATTTCAGGAGATCACATCTTACAGATTTACAGCTGAAGCTTT